AAAACTGTAATTATGAACGAAAAAGAATAAATGTAGTCGATTGTCTTGGCAAATCTGACTTTTTTCATCGACAATCCCCAAACACTTCTTTTCGAAATGGAAGTAAGCCCACCGACTCAACATATGTCAACCAGTAGTAGCCTTGATATGTATTCACCCAATTTCGTTTAAGGTGATGAAAGACTGGTAGAAGAACAATTTTCCCACAATAATATGAGTTGAGCTGAAGTTTCCATTCAATTTCACATAGTCCTTCATCACCTTAAACAAAATTGTGTGAATACCACTCATATTACTGATTAACTGGTAGTCTCGAAACAATACTTTATGTGAGAAATAAACTAGTAGCCTCACCAAAACCACTGGTCTGAGGTGGCAGGCGAGTGTGATGAATCGACATTTGCCCGCCTGCTCGGCCCACCTCCGTCTCCTCGTATCTGCCCAGACGACCAGCATAACCGGCACTATTGCTCTGACGCCTGTTGAGCCCGATTACTGTAGACATCTGCCTTGCAAGTGAGGCAGCTTCACTCATCGCAGCCGTCGTAGTCGACGAGGATGTCGCCATCGTCGTCGCCGTAGTCGTCGACGTCGGCAAAGCCGTCGCTTTGGCCGTCGAGGTGGTGATGCCGTTGACTGAGGCGGTGATCTCATGTGGCATGACAATTGTGTTTGGTGTGTTTGCAGTTGCCCCGGGACTGGGGAGCCAAGTCATGGCGAAAGGAGGTGACGGACTCGTGGCAAGAGTTGATGTCGGGCAGATTGAGAATGTGGGAGTCGACGAGCCGGGCTGGGTAGTCGGCGGTAGGGAGATTTGGGCGGAAGAGGGTCCTATTTGTTGCGGATGCTGGTGGCCATCATGACTCGACGGCTGCAGTAGCTGGTAGTGCGTAGGATGGTAGTGGCCGGAGGGCTGATGCGTCTTCGTGGAATGAAAAGACGAAAAGTTGGTTGAAGGGAGAATGGAAAAGGGGAAATCACCAATTTGGCAACAACGAAACAGCCAACAGGAGACCTGCAAAACCATTTTACGAATCCATTCCACCCGCCCTTTCAAGCGAAATAAACGATAGGCCAGCGTCAATTAAAAACGATGCCGAAAGTGGAATGGGGAAATGGACAATCTATTCACATAAAGAAGGCCTGAAGACGAATTTTTCCACAAACAGATGAGTATGCCAGTAAATTTCGCTTAACCTTGCGGTCAACAGCGACCTAAAGTGACTAAGCTCATAAGCTTATTGATAGAATTGTGATAAAGATGATGATTGCAATTATTAGCAACTATTGAATACGTAACTATTCAGCCCAGGTCGATTAAATTGACCTGATAACTCATCTGATTGTGAGAAACCTCAACTATCAGTTTTCAGATAAGCTTAAACGAACTATGCTGACTGTATATATTTAATGATAAATATTCACCTCATTTCGTTTAGGATGATGAATTACTGATAATTGAATTTTCTCACTCTCCATTGAATTTTACATAATTTTGATTCCCAAAAGGTATCCTCATCCAGGTAGATGTGGACTGCAGTTGCGACCTCACCTGAAATGATATCTTCACCACCCCCAACAAGATTAGATACCAATTCGTGAGTTTAGCAGCGATATTTACAGCTCCATTTTATCCCACGGTTACGGGTAACACGGCGCTACAGGAGAGATGCGAAACTCAAAGTAACCAAGGCCTCTCCCAACTCACGTTATTATAGTGGGATTTTCTATTCCGATAGACAAATTTACTTATTTTTGATAAAATTAGATCATGGGACTACCAGTAATTCTATCAAAAATAAGAACTTTGCCAGCCTAGTTCGCTTAAGGTGATTTAAGGACTGATACTTGAGTTTTCCCAAAATCTGATGAGTAGACCCCACGATGCTATTAAAGTTTAATTGTCCCTATCTTCCCAAAGGCTGGATGGACTGTAGTCTCAACCTCGTCCAGGTCCAAACTTCTCAACTCGCATTGAGTAAACTGAGGTGACTAATTTTTTGAATTAAATTTTGTTCTCTTGACTACCAGTAAATCAGTAATATGAGATGTATTCACCCAATTTTATTTAAGGTGACGAAGGATTAGTAGAAGAAGAATTTTCCCACAATGATATGAGTTTAGCTGACACTTTCATTGAATTTCACATAGCCTTGCTTTCCCAAAAGTTGTTCTTATTCAGGCACCAGTGGACTGCAGTTTCTACCTCGCATCGGTCATATCAACACTCCAGAAGGGGGGGTGAATACATATCATATTACTGATTTACTGGTAGCTATGAAAACAATACTTAATTCAAAAAATAAAGTATAGTAGTCGATTGTTATAGCAGATATACGTTTGCTTAATCGACAATCCCACCAAAAGAATATGATATGGCAAAAAGGCCTGGGTGTCCTTGAAAATTCACATTTGCCCTGTGATCCAAACGTGTCAA